GGGGGGGGGGGGGGCTTCTGTGGTTGCATAACAAGAATAGTAACGCAAAATTAATTAGAAAGAAGCTTCCTCTTCAAAATGAATTTATAAAACTGAAGGATGAAGGATAGATATGAGAAATTTCTCTCTCTCTCGCTCTCTCGCTCTTGCTGTCTTCAGTCTCGTCGGGCAGCCTAGATTAGGCTAGAGTAAATAGTGCCAGTCGCGGCAGGCAGCAGCTTGAGGATGCGTGGGCGTCGACCGTCAATCATCAATTTCGAAAGCCTAATGAGGTTCTTTCTCTGATGTATTTAACGTATGGCTAAAAGCCTATAGTGACTATGACGATTGAGTAGACATCCTTGATTTCTAATAAGGCACACTCTCTACACGGAATATCGTTAGAATAGCATTTGCAGGTATTGGTCCGTTTCTCCTCCAGTTAATAATAGCAATAGACGCTATCGGATGAATCGCGAAAATATACTCTTTGAACGTTTAAGTAAGGTATAACAGTTAATTGCGTATCAATATGCACTGCATTTAACCACGGAGAAGTTGAACGTAGGGTGGAAGTTTCCTAGTATCTTCTAGAAACGATGCAGATGATGATGACCTCGTCGACGAACTTTCACTTTAGTTCTAACTCTAATTTTATTTCTAATTACGAAGACGCTTAAATTTGAGTATATCGATACTCCGCCTTACAAAGAGGAATAATTCGGATCAATGAGATACCTGTTAAGCGTATCATTGGGTAACATTGCACGGCAGTTTATTCTTGGGCAAAATTACTATTGAGATGTTGATGGGTGTGTAGCTCTATAGGTTCAATCAGAATCATTTTTTTAATATCGTTTTATTTAGCAATAAAGTTCTTGTCGCGCGTACGTATTTTTTGAGCGGATTTTCAGTACCGTTTCAATGAGTTTTCAAAGAATCAATCATGAGGTCCTTTAACTTGGAGATTTTTGCAAGATTTCTCTTAAAACTACTGAGGTTAAGAGGGTCTATTTCTGTGCTGCTTCTTTATCGATTTATTTCTATTGTTAACTAAAAAAACAGTGAATCGATCCCTTTAAATCATTTGTCATTTAGGATCACATTAAAAATCTATCGGCGATATATGTTGACGTTATCCGATTATTGTGAAATTTTTTGTTTTCGTATACAGGGAAAGCAAAGCTGATAATTTTGACTGAAATATGTGCACATCAAGGTAAGACCAGCAAGTTCTCTCATTAATTCTCTAACCATGTTCATGTTCATGTAATATTTGTCTAATGCATCGTTTGCGGATAATTCGAAATTTCGGAAGTCGAAAGATGCCGGTTGTATTAATGATCTGAGAAATATAAATTAATAATTAACTGTCCCACGTTCTATTAATGTTATTTAGCCAAAAAACATTGCTAACGCGCAGATAAGTGAGTGATTGAAAGCTTCGCCACATTTCTTCGAATTTTCCTACTTTTTTCAAGCGCTTATTACTATTGCGTGTAGCGGATTAGTTACTAAAGTAAATCTAATCAAAATCGAAATTAATTAAATATATTTTCTACTATAACAATGTCGCGAAGGAAATTTTCATCACTCGCACAAAAAATTCTATTTTCGCATTTACTTATTCTCTTAAATAGTTTTCACTTAATTATAATAATACGATACTACCGACGATCCAGTGAAAAGAGTAACGTCATACTGCAGTTGGTAAGTAGTAATAGTAGTAGCAGTAGCAGTAGTAGCAGCAGTAGCAGTATCAGTATTCTTGTTGCATCTCTCATTTAGGTTTTGAAGGAACACGAAAAACAATCTTGCGGAAAATATTTTCATAATTGTTGCTGTCGCCGTTGCCAGTCTTCATTATCATCGTGGTCAACGTCAACGTCAACGTCAACGTCAACGTCAACGTCAACGTCAACGTTTTCAACAATAATTTTCACCGTCGTTATCCAAAAGATCTTCATGCGAATTCATACCAGAGAGAGAGAGTGAAAGTTCTGAGTAAATATATTTGTACACCTTAAAGCGGCGCAGGACACATCGAAAATGGGTCTCTCAAGTTTAGCTCCAGAGTCTCCACCGGTACAGGTCCATCCTACTCTAGTGAGTTTATTATTAAAAGTTCAATGAATCGAGATACATCCAGTATATAGTGATTACTTGGTCCTCGCGATACTTGGGAGAGCTACTCTCGATCTGTGTTCCGTCGTGACAAGGTTACAGAATTCACTAAGAAGAGAAAAGGAGAGGGAGGAGAGGATTCCTTTAGACGATAAGTTCTCTATTAAAGGTAAATGTAGTAACATGAAGAGTCAATTAAAATTGCTGAACTTAATACGGAAACAATTATTACAATTGTTTGAATATCCCGATCATATATGATGCTGACATGCAGAATTGGTTGTTTCCTGAAGAAAAGTCCCTTGATGTTGTTCCGAATGGAGTAAATGTTAGAGAGAGGAGGGATAGATACACGATGCATGTAGTATGTTTATGCATAGCGTCTAGAAGAGTCAGGGGAGGAGAGCAGGAGAGATTGTGCTACATTGACGTTGGGTCATAGGATATGGATGGTGCATTTGATACCATATTAATGAAATGCTCGACCGTGTAACACGATGAACTTTACTAGATTTTTGTATTTCATTTTTTTTTGTTTTCCCTTGAGAAACTGGCAAAAAGAATGCAAGGATGGATGAGAGAATTGGAGTTTGTACATAAAGACGCGAGCGAGGATAATGTAAAAGGTCTGTAGTGGCATGGGATACGACTAGCATTGATCGTCTCTCTCTTATTTGCAGATATTATGTTTCAAAGATCACGATGCTGCCGCAGGAGTGCGATGGCAGTGAAATGAGCGCAAAGGTATTTAGCGACAGTACCGAAATCAGGCTGATTCCACAGAACGTTGTCGGGGGGGTAGGGGTTGCGATTGGGGTCGGGATCGTCGAGGAAAGCATCTTCCCATGTACCATTTGCGGCGAGGGTTTTATATCGAAGCAGGCGCAGGACGCACATCTCAAGACTCGACACGAGGAGAAGATCCTCGCGGTCGAAGTGGAAACCGATTGCGAGACCGAAGTAACTATAGGAGAGGAGGAGCAGCAACAGCAGCAGCAGCAGCAGGTCAGCGAGACTATTGGCGGCGGCGGCGGCGACGGCGGCGACGGCATAGCGACTTCGGGTGGTGCTTATGCGTGCGAACACTGCGGTCGATCGTACACGACGCCCTCGGTCCTGCGGAAGCATCAGCTGGTTCACACCGGCGAGAAGAGTCACACCTGCGAGACTTGCGGCTACGCGAGTGTCCATCGGCAGAATCTCTTGAGCCATCAGCGCCGCCACAATTTCGAGTACAAATTTCATTGTGAGATATGCGGCACGGGATTCTACGCGAAGAGCAACTACCTGGAGCATCAATTGATGCACTCGAAGGAGAAGCCCTTTCAGTGCGAGATATGCAGCGCGACCTTTCGTTATCGTCAAGGACTTCGACTTCACGCCAAGCTGCACCAGCCTGATTACGTGCCACCTCAGAAGAAGCATCACTGCGAGCTCTGTAACAAGCGCTTCTCTAGGAAGCAGGTCCTCCTGGTGCACATGAAGACACACGGCACCTCCGGTAGTCAAAATGAATTCGTCTGTCATATATGCGGCAAGGCCGTATCCAGTAAGACCTACCTGACGGTGCACGTGAGGAAGCACACGGGGGAAAAGCCTCACGTCTGCGACCTCTGCGGCAAAGGATTCATCTCGCAGAATTACTTGAGCGTCCACAGGCGCACTCACACCGGCGAAAGACCTCACAAGTGCACGCACTGCGAGAAACGATTCACGCAGAGGACCACTCTGGTCGTTCATCTGCGGGGCCACACTGGAGACAGGCCTTATCCATGCACCTTTTGCCATAAATCTTTCGCTTCCAAGACTATGCTCAATTCTCATCTCAAGACGCATGCGAAGCAGAATGCTCGCGCACAGCAGGAGCAGCAACAGCACCACAATCACCACCATCAGCAGCAGCAGCAGCAGCAAGAACAGCAGCAACAGCAACAACAACAACAACAACAACAACAAGAACTGCACTCACAACGTCACGACACAGCGACCGTCATGTTGCCTGGCTAGAAGTGTGAGTGAGAAAGAGAGAATGAGACGTTGGCTCTCTTTAAGACGATGAACTGACACGTTACGAGCAAAGAAGTCGAACGGACAGACAAGCAAGTATAGAGACAAGTAAAGAATAAGTTGGGTAGTTTGGTGCTTTGAAATGCATTTCTTTTACAAAATAGAATCTCTATGATTTGACACGCAAACTGCTAACCGCTGATCGCTAAATGCTAACTCGGTCCGTATATTGTCTTCATCGAGTAAATTCTACGTTATAAGTTAACTTTCCGATTCTAGAGACTAATAATTATTTACATGACTACATACGAGATTATATTGACTTTTTGGGACGCGTTTTATACAATTTTTTGAAAGATTTATTTATTGTTTCGGTTTCTATATTCTTTGCACTATATAAAAAAAGGTATTTAGCTCTTTTCGCTATGGCACACGTGATATGTAAGGCTCTCACTGTGTACAGACCAAGCCTAGCAATGGTTATTATGTATACTTTCTTCATAAGTGCTTATCAACATCCAGAGATCACATACACAGACACACTATATATATATAGCCTCGTAGCAAAAGGGTTAAAAACGTTTGAAAATCTCATTCAGACAATTTCACAGGCTTTTGACCACGAACCAAGGAAAAATGGATTCTCTCATGACTGTGAAAACGCCATAGGCCTTAACTAAATATTTCTAGCGTTGATTTTGACGCCGGTGATGCAGCTACCTTAGAGATTTGGCAATCCGGAATGCGGATGCTGTGTGCCTTAGTTCCTAAATATCAACCGTCCTTTCATAAGTGATTCTTTCGAAATTTTTTAGCGCTATTCGCTCTGAAGTTCGGGAGTTCTCGAAAGCTTTTTCCGTCCGTGCGATACGCCTTAAATTTCGAATATTCTTGAAGATTTCTACACTTAGACATTCGAGACCTTTTGATATTCAGTTAGTTCGATTGACTTTGCACTGACTCAAGGCGAAAAGCGGCCGTGGTTCGTAAAGGTTGCATCATTCGTAAGTTAAGAGACATTGTTTTTCTACCGTGGTAGTTATTATAGATCATCGACTATTCTGATCGCTTCTTTATCGAGACGCATTTTTCATCAAGCTAAAAGGTTGTGACGATTAAAGAATTCCAAGTAAATTGGAAACATATTTAGGAATTAGACAGTAGAAGCATATTGCTAACAGTCCAGATGACTAACCATCCGAATTTCAAGTTTCTAATTTACTACGAATGCACTGTAAGAGGCATATTAAATCGTGAATACTCGGAAACCTAAAGCTGAGCCTGAACGGCGAATAACGGTGAATCTGTGTTTTCTTGGTTTCTGTCGATAGAGACGACCCTATGATATGCCACATACGTCATCGTGAGTGCAAATCCGATCGAACTATCTTAGGAGTGAATGTCGCGCTTTTATACGTGGCGCGAGATATGCTCAGAACTCTCTACTGTAATTCTCATTGTTAGTATTTTCTTTATTTTACTAGCCGGATTTGTTATTCTCTCTTTTACATTCCATAGCAATTATTTTTTAATATTTAAAATATCGGCCTAAAATGATATATTAGGAACTCTTTCGTTAAAAGTATTATATGTATATGTGTTAGCTTCTTTGTTACTTCAGACGATTCGAAAATTTATGAGAAACACCGTTCCAGCAATACTATTAAATTACTTTATATTGTTATCTGTCCTTTATAATAGTCGCCTAATCTAGTAATTGCGTTATACACATTTTTATATAATAGTAATGATTTCTTTGTTTCACACCCACGCACGCGCAGCGCGTGCCGCCTTGATTTCTTCTTAATTCGCTCTTCATCATTGTTCTTACATTTTTAAAAGTAATTCACTGATATTTAATCATATTTCCTTTTTCACTCTAAGCATGGTTGCCGATAAAGACGATTGTAAATGGTCTATTTTTGTTGTAAATATAAGTTTCAACGAAGACGTTCACCTTGTTCTAAAACTTTTATACGTACATGTTAGATTACAAATGTTTTATGACATATGTAAATTTGTACCTGGAAATGAATATTACTGAGCTTCAACTGCGATGCTCACGAAGCCCTCGGCTTTTTCGTAAATTCACCTGAAAATTATCGCATCTTTGCTTCTTTTCATTTCACAATCGTCGTTAACTTTGCAGAATACATTGGATCGGAGTCCAGCTTTTGACTGACCCTCATTCTCACTCTTTCACTATTTCATTCTTTCACTCTTTCACTCTTTCTCCCTTTCTCCCTTTCTAAGACTGGGAGGAGGTTACATTTTTACAGAGGTGGTTTGTTCTTCGAATACTTTATTCGGTTGTACGTGTACACGATGTTTATGTAATAAAATAACATTATATACTTTTGAAGATGTTGTATGATACTTTTCTACTACCCATCGTTTTCAGTTGACATCCAAGAAGGCATTGGTTTTGGGGGGCGTGAGAGGGGGAGCCTAAGAGGAGTTACGGGATGCATCGATCGCGGGAATTGTCGACCATCTCTCTTCTGGACAGGCTAGTCTCGAATTCGGTGAAATTACAATGGGCTCGGATCATGACGTGCGTCGATCTTTTCGTCGAAGGCGTTCGCAGCTTTTGTTCCAACCGAGGAAAAAAAAAAAAGAATTGGTTGACGCAGGCAGGAAGGGAAGAGAGAGTCGCCGGGAAGACGTCGGGGTTACGTCGGATGTAGCTATTTGGGTCGCTGCTTTCTGCTTCTGCCAAGGCGTCTCACAGTCGCACGAATCGTCAGAAGAGAATCTGCGGCGGATGCTGCGCTTCAGAGAGATAAGGACAAAGCGAGGATAATGGGTGGATAAATGAGGGAGGAGGAGGGAGCTGATGATCCAACAAGATGAGAGTCGAGATTTCCCCTGCGTAACGCAATGCTCCATGTTCTCGTTGCAGATCGCGCGAGATTCGGAATCCTTCGCGAAAATCGGACATCCGGCTCGTCTGCGACTTCCGCGACTTCTGCGACTTTTGCGACTTCTGCGGCAGGTCCTTCAGCGAGAGGGACGAGCTGCACGCTCATCGTCGTGCGCACAAGCCGACCTACATCCCGGAGCACGGGCAAGAGCCGGCGATGTACGAGTGCGACTTTTGCGGGATGCGAATTCGCCTGAAGGACGTGTTTGCCGAACACAGGCGCATCCACACCGGCGAGGAGCCCTATCGGTGCCAGAGCTGCGGGCAGCGATTCGCTACGCATCGGAGACTCTACTGGCACAGAATTCGCGAGCACATCCAGGAGAAGCCCTCTTCCACTGCAAGGTCTGCGGCAAAGCCTTCAAGCTTCGACAGTTCCTTAACGTCCACATGAAAATACACGATAAGGTTTTCATCTGCGACGTCTGCGGCGCTTCGACGGCTACGCTCTGCAATCTTGAGTGTCACAAAAAGCGGCACAACAAGGAGTACGATCTCTTCTGCGAGACATGCACCAAGGGCTTCTACACGAAGGCCAGCCTTCAGCGGCACCTGATGACGGGCACTCGGGCGAGAAGCCCTTTCCCTGTCCAACCCTGTCCAAGGAGGAGCTCCTTCAGCAGCCGAGGCTGGCTACCGCAAGCTGCACACGGCAAGGCACGGAGCCCGCGAGAAGAAGTACACCTGCGGATTCTGCGATTTTCAAGGTTCACATGCGAACTCATACTGGGGAGAATTACGAGTGTCGCGTGTGCGGGAAATCGGTCTCCAGTAAAGCCTACCTGGGCATCCACGTGCGCGCGTTCACACGGGTGAGAAGCCGCACGCTTGCGAGATCTGCGGAAAGGCCTTCAGCGCCAGGAAGTGTCTCAGGATTCATGGGCGCACGCACACCGGCGAGAAGCCTCTTACGAATGCTCACACTGCCGGAAGAGATTCACTCGAAAAGGGACGCTCGCTGCTCACCTGAGATCCCACCTGAGGTCCCACCGGAAGGCCTCCGACTCCATCCTTCTTTGATTCTCGTTACTTTAATCTCTCTTCTCTTCCGATCCCTCTTCAGCCCTCCTCTCGCTTCCCCTTTTGCAACCATTGCGCCCCGTTCGCATCTGCAGCTATGTCTGCGAATGCTCTCGCCTTCTCTTTGTCTTTTACGAATTTTGTATATCAGAGTTCTATGTTCCCTTCTTGACACTTTTTTATGGCTCGCGTGCAAATAAATAGTCCAACGAATTTTCTCCAAGCACGTTACTGCTACATTCCCCCGTCTCAATACTGTCAATACTATTATGCCAATAACCCATTCATATTCGACGGGTCTTTCTCCATTGGGAAGTCAAAAGCATCCTTCGCTTGCAGCGTCTTGGAATTGATCCTCGTATCTATCTAAATGTCGAATCGCTTCGAACAACGAGACTGCTGGTTTTCTCTCTCGGCTGGCGCCGTCAATCGTTCCTGATTAACGATTCGCTCGATTAGCTTGTTGTTGGGTTGCGCTTCCAAAAAATCCACTGAATACTTCCTCTACGGAAGGCAGATGTTGTAAGCACGTTGAGAGGACGTAATGTCCTTTTCGCACGTCATTCCTGCATTTAGCCAATTTGTTGTCTTTGCAGGCGTTTGGGGATAGGCGCTATAAGAAAGACGACAAAGAAGGTGAGTGTATCGAATCATTCGGCAGAAGTCCACTTCCTCCGGTTGAACCTTCGAGCAGCTTTGGATAGCGAGAAGAGTCAGAGGGGGAGGGAGGTGGAGGAGGTGGAGGAGGAGGAGGAGGAGGAGGAGGAGGGACAGGGAGCCGAGGGGTTTCCTGATGCTGTCGGAGGCAGGGGTCCTCAGTGCGATCCTCCTGCGATCGTGCGCTTCGGCAGGAGCCTTCAGGAGGGATACGGCGGG